ATCTTGGGGTTGATACCAAATGTAGTTGAATATCATCGCAGTTGTTCATCCGTCGCAACTGTCACCGCCAGGTTGGATTGGTTGAGAGAACTTGAACCAAGAATGATCAGGAGGAGGAGTTGAATGATGAGGAGGAGGAGTTGGAGGACGAGTTGGAGGATGAGGAGAAGGAGGAGGGGGAGGAGGAGGAGGAGGAGGAGGAGATACGAAGAGGAACGAATAGGCACGCCAAAGTTGCTGGAAAGCCGCATGGCCGCACCGCGGTCCTTTGCATGCCCCCCCTCACGCCCGCTCCCCCATCGCGGTTCCACTCCCCCCTCACGGCTCCCATCATGGCCCCCCGCGGCCCTCGCCCCAGCATGGTCCCTGTCGGCTCGCATTACCCTCACGGCTCCCATCCCATCATGGCCCCTCGCGGCCAAATCATGGCCCCCCTCGCGCCGCTCCCCCGGCGCCCTGCCAATGAAATATTGGTCATTTGGCTGCCCGTGGACCTTTGGGATCTTTGGGAATTATCTTGGGAATTATCTTGGGACAGTGGCATCTGTGGGAGTTATCTTGGGACAGTGGCATATTTGGGAAAAGCTTGACTCTCATGGGATCTTTGGGAATTATCTTGGGACAGTGGCATCTCTGTGAACAGCCATTTTGGCTCAAACACGTTGGGAAAGATTGCCCATCATGGATCTGTCTTGGGAATTTCCGTCAGAGTCAGTTGTTAGCGCAGCGCCATCATGTGGGTCTGCCGTCGTAGAGACGCCGCCTCGCAAGGTGGTGAAACGATCAGTGACGTCTGATGTGAAGACAGAGCCCCCGGCAATCTCAGGCGGTAGTTCCTCAACACATGCTTTCCTTCAGCCCGGTTGTGGTCCCCTTCTGTTCAACAAACGTCGGATGTATATCCAGGAGGCTGAGCATCTGGTATCGTGCCGCACCCGGAATTGCAGTACATGTTCATTCATCAAGTTGGGCCCGAAATGGGGACAGCGCCTTCGAACTGATCCCGACAGACCTCAGGACCATTGGTTGATCGGCATGTGGTCGAAGTCTGAGCTACTTGGAATAGGATGTTCTATCCAAGCGGCTTCGCCTTTCCGCGGGCCCCATCTCCAACAGAATCGGCGAGGCAATGTTTGCTTATCTCCAACATCGCCCGCCAAACTCACTCGCTGCTTCTGCGAGCGATCTAGCCTATCGTTTCGTCGATGCGCTCATTGGCCTTCAAGGGCCTGGATGATATGCAAGACTGCTGGCGTGAAGACGGCATATGGCAGGTGTGCAGTCAGACCGGGGGGCGCAGAGCTCCAAATATGCAACCTACTCCGGCATGAACAGACTCACGAGCATCAGAAAGCTTCGGCCCATCAAAACGGAACTCCGGCCCCCCCTCGACGGCAACTTAACCGTGAGTTGTTGGAGAAAGTATTGCAGGAGCGAAGAGGGGGTGGATCATTACATCAGATCACGAAAGAGTTGGACAAGGTTGGCAGGAAAAAACTCGGTAGACTCGAATTCGCCCTTGCAGAGGCGATGCGATTCCAGGCCAGAGAGAGACTCGCCAAGGCTGATTCGATAGCTTTATACCAAGATGGTAGTGGTGCACGTCTCCTCATGCGCTACTCCATATCAGACCGCCACATGAACGTCTTCAAAGGGGTGTTGGGCGTCGGGGACCAGGTGGAGGAGGGCGGGGGCGCTGAGGGCATCGCTAGGACCACCGACCGCATCCAATAAGGCTGCGCCGCGACGCAATGGGGGAACGGTGGTATGTGTCAAAGCTCGCACCTGCGATTTTGGGTCGTTTGGTTTTGACTGTGGGTTAAGACTTGCATGCGCTTCAAGGCCTCTCAGGGGCTGGGCGTATCATTAGACGTTTCTGCACGTACTTCGCGGACCCTCCACGCCGCCAGAAGCTAGGGCCATCATCTGTGCCAAGTCCGAACCCGAGAGTCGATTTGATCAAACATTTCAAAACCAAAGTGGAGATCTTTGGCACCGACGCGGCCACGGACGAGTTGGCGGCCGTGAGGTCCATGGGTCCTGCGGGTGTTCGCACCTTGGTCCAACGCATGAAGGCCGTGCTTCCAAACTTGATCGTCCAGGTCCGGGATCCCACCCACGCCGCTCGAAGGACCAAAATAGCTAGAAGGAGGAGGAGGAGGAGGAGGAGGAGGAGGAGGAGGAGGAGAGGAGGCGCATGGTGGAGGAGGACCTGGCGGACGAAGAAGAGGAGATCGGAAAAATAGGCGGCTCTGGACAGCGGGAACGTTCACAGTTTTCAAAACTTTGGCCCCAGGACGTCGGGTGACGACGACGACGATGACGGCGACGGCGGTAATGTCGATGTCGACGTCGTTCAGCCCAGTTGGCGTCGACGTCGACACAGGGGGCCCCTCTCTTCTGCTCCGCGCCGCCCCCCGTCTCAAACGGCTTCAGGGGGAGAGCGTTTCATTTCCTTCCTACTTCCCAGCCCATTCGTCCTCCTCCTTCTGCCCCTCCCTTTCCACGTTCTCGCCCTCCCCTTCCCATTCATCCCCCTCCTTCTCCTCCTCCTCCTCCTCCTCCTCCTCCTCCCCCTCCTCTCCCCCCCCCCTGCCCCCTTCCCCCCCCCGCCCCAGTCTCGCCTCAAAACTCCTCGTGAGATGTAAATGATGCCGCCTCCCCCTGAGGAAGACCACCCGGCCATGGAAAGCAGATGATGTGTTAAATGATGTGTACAATGTTGTTATGAAGTTCCTGAAGATAATCCATCACAGCGATGTGTTCAAATCGCGCTTCGAGAAGTTGATAGCTGATATAAGAGATAATCCAGCGCCTGACAGCGCTGGTCGTGTGAGGAGCGTGCGTGCAGCTAAACATAGAATGGAATCATCCCAGACTCCTCTCGGCCGATTTGTTCTTTATCACGACGCGTTTATGGTGCTCGCGCAAGAGATTGTAATCCTACGGAAGGATCGGAAGGAAGGGAAGGCGGCAGCTGAGTTTATGGATTGGATGAATGATGAGCGCTCCATGCTAGCCGCCATGATTGCAGACGCTGGAGATGAATCGACTATGCATTTGCGATTTTTCGATACCGAAGCATACGACATATCACAGATCGGCCGCATATGTTCTGAGTATCAACAACGCGTTGACTTTTTGTTTGTGCGTGGTGGGTGCAAAAACTTGGGCTACACTTACTGCATGCTGCAACACTTATCGAAAGTCCGCACGTACCTTCTTCCGAATGGGGCCGTCAAGCAAGTCGGAAACGCACACGGCCTGAGCGACGACGTGGTCAATGATTTGTCTCTGACTCGTTTTCCTAAGTGCGAGTGGCCTCGGGAGTTTCAGAGCAGTGGAGCCGCGTCCGTCTCGTTCGCTGCTCCTGCTGTTGCTCTCTCCCTCTGCTCCGAAACCGCTCCTGCTCAAGCTCTATCATTCGTGGGGCCCCCGGCAGTGCGGGGTGGTGCCGTGGGCCGCTGCCGGCCCTTGGGCGGCCTCCATCGCGACCGCGTGGCTCTCGCGCTGTCCCGCGTGCTCGGAGGCCCGCGTGACGTGCGGGGCCTGCCTTGTGTGCCCCCAGCGGCGGCCGCCGCCCCCTGCCCGGGGTGCCCGAGCTGCCCGAGCCGCAGCTTGACCTGCGGGACCGGGCCAGGCTGGTGGGCGGTCCTGGCCGCCCTGGCCGCTGGCCTCGCGGGCGGAGGCAGCCTCCGCGTGGTGCTGGGCTGGGCCGCCTGGGCCGCCTCGTTCTTCGTCGGGAGGACCGACCTGCCGCGGCGCGAGGGCGCCGCGCCCGTGGGCCTGCTCGTCGAGGGCGACGGGACGGGCCAGGACGGCGGTGCTCAGCGCCGCTTCCGGGCAGTGCGGGCGTAGCCTGAACGTTGGCCGTCGGCGAGATTGCGGCGACGGTGATGCGTACGCCCGACGCGCCCGAGCCTCAGGTGTGCGCGTGCTACGACGACGACGTGAACCTTCGGAGGCACCACAGGGTGCCCCTCAGGCAGCTCTGCCCTGGCGTCTGGGTGCCGACGACTCCCGATGGCGAGGTGGAGACGCTGGACCTCAGCAAGCACGAGGTCGGCCCCCTAGGGCGGGCGCCCCCGTTCCCGGCCTGGGTTCAGGGGCAGGTCTGTGCGTTCAACGGTCAGACGAGCGAGGACATCGAGGCGCTGCGGGAGGAGGCTCGCGGCATCGCCCTGGTCATGGGCGTCTTCGCCCCGGCTGGGGCTGCTGGCGGCGTCGTGCCGCGCGGGATCGTCTCGGACCCAGGCTCGCCCGGGTTCTGGCGCGAGCTGGAATCCCCCCTCATCGGCTACCCGGAGCGGCTGATCAGTCGCGACGCTGGGGGCAGTGCGTTGCTCAGCAAGGAGGAGGGGTGGGTCTCGGTCGAGGACGTCCAGCAGGCCGACGAGGCTCGCGGGGGCCAGGTGGCGCTTGTGGAGGCGATCGCGAGGATGAACGCGGTCGACTTTGGCGACTGGCTCCCCTGGGGGTCGAAGGGCTCGCCCGAGCTGCTGGCCGCCGCCCTTGTCACAGGGCTGACCCTCACTTCCTACTGTGGGTACTGGGTCTCGGAGTCACGGGTGTCGCGGTACGCCGCGGTGGCCCAGGAGGTGCGGCACGCGTTGAGCCAGCTGCACCGCGCCGCGACCTACGACCTCGTGGGCCCGTCGAGCCGGGCGTCTCTGGAGCACCTGGGCCGCCGGGTGCTGCAGATCCAGCGGGCAGGGAAGAGGTGCCCGCGCCACCTGAGCTTCGAGGGCCTCGACCTGGCGCTGAGCTGCCCCTTGGACGAGGTCAGAGGCGTCGTGGCGTCGAAGTTCGACGCGAGCGTGGCCAAGGAGCTGAAGGCGCAGGGCTTCGTACTGGGGCAGGATTTGGTGTACCGGGAGGAGCAGGTGTCGGAGGCGAAGAAGTGCGAGAGGCAGGGCGACGACAGGGAAAGGGACCCCAGGGCGGACACAAAGGGCAAGGTGAATCCGAAGCCCGAGGCCGCCGTGAAGGATCAGGGCTGACGGCGCCATGGCGGCGCCATCATGGCTGGGCGCTCCGCCCGGCCTCTCTGGGCTTGGCCCCGACTCCGCAGCCGCGAACGCGCGTCGGGCCGGGCTGCCCTCCGAGGGGGTCTCCTCCGAGGGTCGGACTTCGTCCACAGTTTTGTTTCCTCTGCCGCAGGGCGACGAGTTCTATCGCCACCCTCATCGTGGAGAACGTGCCGCTCTGCCTCGGTATCTGGCCCAGCGTGCTGCTCGTGCTGACGACCGTGATCGGAGGTCTCTCGAGGCCTTGGGGGCGCTCAACGCGCTGGCAGGCGCACGGGCTGGGGGGCGTCTCGAGCCTCGAGCGCCCGGCAAGCATCGGCCGACTACCGCCCAGGAGTCGGTCATCAAGCGAGTCCGACGTCGTGTCCGCGGCTTCGGCGACCGACCGAAAGACATGGACTGTGCTGGAGCCCTGCAGGAGCTCCTCAAGTGCAAGGATCTGTACTCAAACATGGGCGAGGCTTCTACTCGCCGCGACTATGATGCTGACAAGCTCAATGTGCTACGACGTGCGCCACATGACCGGCCTCGTCAGCTTCGAGACGTCGCCCCTCGGCACGTCACCGAGGCGCTGGGCCACTTCAACTCGGACGTCGTTCGGCCCACGCCGAGCATCCCCGAGGACGAGGTCATCGTGGAGCCCTACTGGGACCCTCTCCTCAACCCGCGCGACCCTCGGAACCGACCACGCCTTGTCGACTTCCTTCGACGCCTTGCTGCGCGGGGCTTGGTGGATGGCCGGGCGCGTCGGAAGGCGTGCGTCAGTACCTTCTTCGTGGCCAAGAAGAACGGCGACATCCGCATGGTCGTGGACGCTCGTCAGCCCAACCAGTTGCACAAGCTCCCCCCTCGGACTGTGCTGGCATCCGGCGAGGCGCTGGGCTCGATCAACTTGCTCGACGCCGTCGGTGCGAGCCCCGAGGACTTGGCGGATTTCGATGGCTGCTACGAGTCGCTATGCGCAGGCTCCGTGGACCTCATGGACGGGTTCTACCAGTTTGCCGACCCCTCGTGGGGAAGTTGGATGTGCTTCGACGTGGAGGTCACCGCCGACGAGCTCGGGCTCGACTCGATCTACGACGAGAAGCTCGGGCGGCGCGTGGCTGTGTCAGGCGACGACGTCATCTGGCCCTGCTTCGCGGCGTTGCCCATGGGCTGGAGCTGGGCGCTCTGGATCTGCCACGAGGTTCTCGTCGACGCGATGGACGAGGCGGGCCTCCCAGGCGACGGCTGGTGTCTTGACAAGGCCCGTGCGCCGACTCTCGTCGGGCAGGCGGTCGTCAGGGCGCCGTACGTCGACAACGGGAATCTTGTCGCGCTCAGCGCGCCGGCGCTCAACGACCGGCTGGACAAGCTCACTGCTGAACTGGATCGTCGTGGGCTTCGCTGGCACGAGCTCGAGCGCGCGCAGCCCGGCCTCGTCATCTTGGGGCTGGTGCTCGACGGGCGCGAGGGCCGACTCAGGCATACTGCCAAGCGTGCCTGGAGGCTCTACCTGGCTCTGCACCACGTGCTTCGGACGCCATGGCTCGCTCGCTGGCAGCTACGGCGGATCGTCGGCCACCTGGTCCACTACTTTTCGGTCGTGCGCCCCGGGCTCAGCGTGCTGGGGTCCTGCTACACGTTCATCGGAGACGGCGACCTGGCCCCTGTCGTGCGCTTGCCTGGGGATGTTCTTGGTGAGCTTGCAGTGGCTGCAGGTCTCGTCTTCCTCGGCGAAGTGGACCTGTGCCGCGTGCCGTCCGACGTCGCCTTCACGACCGACAGCTCTCTGCGTGGCTACGCCGTCTGCGAAGCCCGACTGGAGCCGTGGGAGGTACTTGCGGCCACCAGATGGCGCGAGCGCCAGCGGTTCGTTGCCACTGAGCCCGAGGTCGCGCCCGACGACGAGCAGTACGAAGGGCGGGCCGCCGGCTTGTGCGACATCTCCGGGCCTCTGCCCGTCGAGGTGCCGCCCCGGCTGCGGCACGCCGTGGCGAAGAGGCGCCGGGTCGAGCTCGAGATCGGAGTCCCGCCCGAGCCGTTGGCGGCCGCTCTCCTGGACGCTGGCCGCTGGGTGGAGCGCCGCCGTGGCGCGTGGCGCCGACCGGGGCGTATCCACGCCCTCGAGGCGCGCGCCGCCGTCGCGCCGCTATGGAGAGCGGCAGGCGACGTCAACTTCCACGGGAAGGAGATTCTCAGCCTGTGCGACAACATGTCGTCGGTCCTCGCCTTTGAGAAGGGCAGGGCCACCAATTTTGAGCTCCTGGCGCAGTGCCGCCGGGCTGCGGCTGTTTGCCTCGGGTGCGAGATCCGCTGGCGCCCAAGGCACGTGCCAGGCATCTACAACGTCGCGGACCACGGGAGTCGGGCGGCCGACCGTGGGGAGCCCCTCGCGGGACGCTACCGCGGACGAGGCGCCCTGTCGACGCCCACCAGCGGCTGCCGCCGATCCCCCGTGGTCCCGCCTGCCGCGGGCAGGGCCGAGGCCCCGCCGACCGCGGCCATCGAGTGTCAGATCGGACAAGAGCAGGCCGAGTCGCTGGGGCCTGAAAACACCGAAAGAGACTGTTGCATTCCGTCACCTTCGTCACATCAGCCCTTCTCTATTACACATTCCTTTTCTCACCAGAGTAGAAGGCATCAAGATGAAGTCTCGAAAGCACGCCCCAATGACCGACCCCGACAAGACCAACCTGAGCATGTTCGATACCTCCCTGCTGCACTCGAGCCTCCTGGAGTTCCTCTACGGGGCCCACGTGTACATCTTGGTATACGCGAAGGTCCTCAACCGGACCCTCCTGAGCGCCCTCGGTCTCCTGAAGTTCTTCAACAGGGCCCACTCGTGCACCTTGGCCCACACGGAGAGCCCCAACGGGTACTGGCTAAGCGCTCTCGGCCTCCGGAAGTTCCTCAACGGGGTCCCCTTCGTAAAGCCTTCCTCGAGATCTTCGCGGGTACGGCAAATCTCAGTGGTGCGTTGCATGAGCGAGGTTTTCGGATCATGCCCCCGATGGACTCCAAGTATGGGCCCCACTGTGACCTCACGAGCCGTCGAGTCCAACTTCTCGTTGAACATTGGCTCAAGTCAGGAGAAGTCTGGTGGGTCCACCTGGGGCTGCCTTGTACGAGGTGGGTGCCCGCTGGGGGCACCCGCGATCCATTGCCGGCAGACCGCGCGCTCGTGGCGTTCTCAGTCCGTGTCTTACGGCTCTGCCGGACCCTCGGGATCTTCGTCACCTTCGAGAACCCGCCTGCGAGCCGAGTCTGGAAGTGGCCCGCGTTGCAGCGCGAGCTCGAGCGCCTTGCCTGGCCAAAAGTGCTGTTTGACTCGTGCAGGTTCGGCGCGCCCTTCAAGAAGCCAGGTGCGATCGCCGGGAGCCTTCCTGGGCTGGGCCATCTTGCACTGCGCTGCTGCTGTACTTGTCGCCACAGGGTCGAGCTGCAAGGCAAGGTCCGACATCCGACGCGAGGCTGGACGTGGCGTACGACTTTGGCCGGTGCTTACCTGCCCAGCTGGTGCCGCCTGCTGGTCTCGCTGGCTGGCCCAGACGCTCCTCAGAGTGCGTTCGGACGCTCGACCCAGAATGGCCTCCAGGCTTGGGCTCACGCGCTGGCCAGCACGGCTGGGGTCGCCGAGCCTCGAGGAGTCTCGGCGCCAATCTGCCCGCAGCGCTTTCGGCTCCCCTGGAGGCCAGGGTGGGCCACCGCGCTCGACCCGCGCCCGCGCAGCCGCTGACGTGGCGGCGCAGCCGCGGTCGCACTGGCAGCCGCAGGCCACGTCCGGCGTCGACGCCCGCCGGGCATCCGTCGAGGCAGGCGCCGACTCAGTCGTGCTGACGCCCAGGCGCCCAGGCCAAGGCCAACGTGACCCTGTCTCTCGCCCAGCGGCTGTGGCCGCCCGGCGCCGCCGGGCGCAGACTGCCGCTCGCGGAGACGTCGCTGCCAGTCAACGGCACCCCGCCCTTGGGGGAGTACCTCCGCTGGGCTTGCTGCGGCCAGCCACAGTCGACAACTACACGTCCGCCGTGTTCGAGCTGACCGATTACGCCAATCGCCAGAGCCTACTGCTGACCACGCCGGAGCTGACAAACGAGACGCTCGACTGGTACTTCGAAGACTCGTTCTTTCCATGTAAGCCCAGTACTTGACTCGAAAACGATATATGAGCTCTGCAAAGTTCAGAGATGTGCTGCAGGACGACCTCGAGTCCATGCAACCAGGGATGTCTTACTGGCTGGGCGGCAGTGCTCTGGACTACGCCGCGCGAGCCGTCACAGTTCGAGGCTGTCCAACTGACCTTGCACAATGAAGGCCAGCACTGACTTGCCTGTTCGCCGAAGTATTCTCGAGTTTCTTTACAGACTGAGCCCGTGCCAGACGCCTGATGCTGCCAACTCTGTCCAATCTCTTCCCCTTTCTCTGTTTGAAAAGACTTCAAAGCAGGCCGCCCACTCGACAGGAGTTGGTGATCTCCAGTCAATCCTTCACTAATTGCGCCACGGAGGGCCCTTGCACGACGCTCTGAACTGTATTCGAGTGAACAAAGCCCCAGCAGTGCCAGTGCTGGCGTATCCGTGAGAGTGATCGTATAAAGAAAGCACGGGTACGCCCTTCGTCTGAGGTCGATGCTCACCGAACCGCAGTGCTCGTCTGCTGCTCGTTTCACTGACTCGACAGTTCGTGACATCCTCTGGCGCGTATGCGCCGCTTAGTCTTGTCTCTTTGCCCCAGCCTCGGACCAAAGCTGGCATAATGATTTTACCCACCCTCCCTCCCGAGGGCATTTGACGATGGGGATGGGACGCAAATGTAATGGCTGTGTGTGTGTGTGTGTGGCAATTTTTGGTGATTGCACTTAGCCGCCGAAGTGGTCCCACTTCCTTGGCTCGATTCTTTAGAGTACCACCGTGTGTCCCACGGCGCTTGCCTGATGAAAAGAGATTGATGATCCCTCGTCTCTCGGTTTAATCTTTGCGCTGTCGCTGTTTCCG